GGTGAATCTCTAACTGGAAAACCTCCCTGTGAGGAAAGATTTCCAGAATCCAGACGATGCACGATAATTTCAAGCACTATTTGCTCGAGCAATGCCCTATTACCATAAAAGAATTAGGAGAGCCCAGGGTCTGGTATGGTAGCTCATCCCTATAATCCTAGCTACTTGAGAGGTGGAGATTGGGAGGAACGTGGTCCAACACTGGCTGGGCAAAAATGTGAGACCCTATCTCAACCAATGGCTGGGCCTGGTGGTGTGTGCCTATCATCCCAGCTATGGCAAAGGAAAACACAAATAGGAAGATTGCCATCCAGGCCAGCCCAAACATAAAATGTGACCCTACCTCAAAAATAACCATCACAAGGCTAGGCACCGGTAGCTCACACCTAAGAGTGGAATTACATAATCCACCGGTGTTATGGTAACTCCATGTTTGACCTTTATAGGAACCACCAGAATGTCTTCCAAAGCAGCTGTTTCAGCATCACTGACGAAATAGGAAGGCTCCAAATCACCACATCCCCACCAATACTTGTTTTTTTCTGTTTTAATTGTTGAACCTCTCTTAGTGTGAAGTGGCATCTCATTGTGGTTTTGATTTGCATTTCCCTGATGATTAATGATGGTGAGCACCTTTTCATGTCTTAATGGCCATTTATACATGTTCTTTGGAGAAATGTTTATTCAAATTTTGGGCCCACTTTAAAAATTAGGTGCTTTTATTATTGAAGTCTTTGTCGCTTTTTAAATTGGACAGATAAACACGATAAACTCTACCCGAAACTCCATGGTCAGTAAATTCACCCCACTGCAGCACTGTGCAATGTGCACTGTGGTATGAAAAGCGTGAAGAGAATGTGAGTGAAGAGATGTCACCAGGACTCAAGTCCTTATGTTTCAGGTTCTGATTCCACTCAGAACATGGATGAAACATTTCTCTTTGCTCAAATTGGCATCTTTTAAGCTACAAAAGCACTAAATTCTAATTAGATTTTGTCAAATATTAAATAAGGTATAAAATGATTTGATATGTGATTTAGTAAATTACTATCATTCTAACAGTTGAAGATAATAAAACTTATGTAAAAATGAATAGGATCAAGTTACCATAACAAAACCCATTGATGCTTTCAAGCTATAGCTAATTTGAAATTTTACTCTGTATTTAATTATTGAAAACAAGTTGCAAAAAGTTTACCTAAGAACCTACTTGATAAAGTAAAGGTGAGAACTACCTTTTTCTTCTTATAAAATTTGGTCTCTTGCACAATAGCAATGACTAAAATAAATGGTGCCAAATTTTTGGAGAGAGTCTTGTTTAATTCAGTATATAATTAAAATCTCATGTAGCTTTATTGGTTTTAGTATCCAGCAGAGCAAAAATATTGAAACTCCAAGAGATTTTGAATTAAATAGCTACAACAGTTTTGTTTTATTAGTTCTGACTGTGTGAAAAAAATCATAAGGACAACTTTGGAAAAATCTAGTTCTTTTAGAGCCCCAAATGACTTTTAAAACAATAAAACAAACTATAAAACCTACACAAGTGATATTAAAAATTATGTAGTTCAATAAATGTGACATTCACAAATGTGGTTGTAATTTTTTTAACTATAGCAAAGTGAACATGGATCTGATGATTGGATTTAAAAAAGGTAGTGTTATATAGCTTAACAAAATTAAGTGCTTCAATTTGCTGGTGAGGATTATGTAGCTAAATTGGAATGTTATACCAACGCCTTCTAAATTCTCCATCTATTTCCCAGGGTCTGTGGCTGCATCACAGAAAGGAATGATACTTTCTTTAGTAGTGATTATTTAATAATCCTGTATCAGTGATTACTTCCCTAGCACTTTAATTCTTATTTTTGGAAGGCTTGTAGATGTTGATCTTTTTGGGTAGTGGCTGCATCAAGCATAGAATAAACTAGTACATAAACCCATGCCATGATTGAAGACAGAGAAGGAAGGCTGGCTAGAGATTTCTGTGATCTGGAGTAATCATCCCACTTTCTAGTTAGGTGGAAGGGGCAAGACAAGGAGAAAAACAAAAGAAGGGAAAACATCTTGTGAGAAAAAATAATTAGTGATCGGCTTAATTCACTGAAGTTCCAATCTTTGAAGACTCAAATACAACTTCTGAACTTCAGATAATCCTGTCCTGTGTAGGTTCCAGAGCCTGATCTTTTAGAAATACAGAACACACCAAATTCTCTGTTAGACCATGTGATGAGGATGACAACTGGTGGGGTTGGCAAACACCAGAGGTGACCCAGACAGTGACCAACAATCCTGCAAAAACCCTCCACGGAAGGTTTCCAGGGGCCAGGCACTAGTGAAATTCTATGAAGACCTAATAAATAATTTTAAAAACCTGACCTTTGAAAAATGAGGTGGTGCTTTCATTTTTTAACATAAAAACTCCATATTGATTTTTCCAAGTTTTATATCAAAAACTTTCAAGCCTACAGAGAAGCTGAAATTATAGTATAACACACACCGGCATCCTCTTTACCTAAACTACAGATAATTTTCTATAGGTGGTTTAATTCTCTTTATTTACACATGTGCATATGTGTACATTCACATGGCTTATGTACATATCTATATATAAGTATGTGCACATGTGTATACTGAAGTCGTTGGAAGTTGAAGATATCAGGATCTAAATACTTCATGCACCTCCCAAGAATAAGGACATTTTCAAATATAATTCACAACACCAGTATCACACCTAATACAACACTAATTTGGCTGTCTGTTATCTACATGCAATTTATATTTATTGCCCCTGTTGTTCTCCAAAGTGTCTTTTGCAGTTTTTTTCGAAACCCAGAATCCAATCAATTGGGATGATCTATGAGACCTTGTGAAAATTCTCATTTTCTACCTGTCACCCAGTAGTAGTTGTGTTAATGAAGATTCTTTCTTGACTATTTTCTAACTTTATCAAAATTTCTACATTTGTTAGTTGGCATTCTTCCAGTTTTGTCATCCACCACCTCTCATCTGAATATCACAATGGACTCATGAGTTGTTATATTCAATGCATTATCACTTACAGTGTAGTTTTTGAAGCTTAAATCATTCCGACTTTGGCCAATGGAAGCCCTTAAAAAACACCGCGTTTTCTTACCATGGTTTCTGGCACAAGATATCTTTGAGCTCACCTTCTACCTTTCCTGCCCAGCTCTTCAAGGACCTATTTTTTTTTTTTTTGTGAACAAGCCACACGTGCAACATGCTTTGGTTCTGCAAATATTTTAAAGGTAGACATTCCTCCCTTCAACCTCATTCATCTTTTCATGGGTAGCCAATATTACTTCTTGTTATCCTTCCAGAGTTTGTTTATATGACAGAGGAAACAGATACATATTCTAACCAGTCCCTAAGGTTTAACTCGAATGGTACACATTATACTCGCTGGATCTGTCTGTGCTTGTAGCTCTGGTCTGTCATTAGATTTTGAAAGATGCCTTTGACTCCATCCGCAGTTAGGAAGCTTTAGGCCAAGTCCCAAGTGTTTCCGATGAGAAAAGCCCAGCGTGATGCATTGACCAAAGCTGCATTAGCTAACAACATTCACAGGCTGTTCTCTGGAACTGGAATGGTCTTCTCTGACAGCTTAGGCTTACTGTCACTCATTCATCTTTCACAGTCATCTCCTTGGGGAAACCTTACCCTTTCTCAATGTGTGTCTCTCCTCCCTCCCGCAACTAGGAGCCGTCCCCTTTTTATAATGTTTACGATTGTTTTCCACTTCTCCTCCTTAGCACATGTATGTTACTGGTATTAAATTTGTTTCCTGTATTAGTGAGGACAGGGACTACATCTGTCTCGTTAACTGCTGGCACACAGTAGTTTATTCAACAAAAGCGTGAGAAGTGAAACTTGAACCTAGGCTCTACAGCTTCCAAGCTCTCCTCTTCCTATTTCGGTCCGGTTGCAGGTGGAGAAATAGTTCCAAGATTTAATTTTTTTTTTAAACCTCAATAGAAAAAGCCGGGAAGTTTTTCTATTAATAGAGGATCATAGCAGAAACTGCTCACCGCGAGGTGTGACGACCGCAGGAGGGCGTCAATCAAGAAAATGCCCCTTTGCCCCAGAGGCGAGTGGAGCTGCTCAGGGACGAGGCCACACCGAGCAGCCCCACAGTTTCGATAGAAAACACATGCACCACGGAGGAACCGAGTTGCGCGCAACTGCGACCCCGAGGGCCGAGTGTGTGTGGGGGGGGTGGGGGGGACATGGAACAGCCCCGATTGCATCGAAGACCGCATGGCCTCCGCCCAGCGCCGCAAGACCTAGCATCCCAGGGAAGTGGCCGAGTCCGGGGCTCCCAAATGAAACGGGCTGCAGCAGCCCAGAGTCCCGAGCACCTAAAGTCTAGTCCTCCGTACCCCGTTGGGATGCAGCTGAAGTTCGGGGTACATTGTCCTTGGAGCAGCAGAAGACACCCCGCACTCTCTCCAGCTATGGGCTCGGGAGGCGCCCCGGGCAATGGCCAGTGTCACCGTTATTCCACGGCGAGCGCACCGATCGGACAAGGATCTCGGGCCTGCCAAGGTGCGGCCCTGCCAGCGGCTTCCTCACCCACCCGCCGGGTCCCGCTGCCCCTCGCGGGGGCCAGCAGTTGCCACCCTGGGCCGAGACGAGGGCTGGGGCTGCGGTCGCTTGGGTCCGCGCTCCTGGCAGCTGCTTTGGTCGCGCCTCTCCCGACGGACGCTGTCGGGCTTTCCTAGAGGGCGTCCCGAGCGAGGTGCTGGAGCCCGGAGTGGCGACAGCGGCGGCCGGGAACCCGACGCAGGGTCCCTGAAGGCTGGGAGCCAGCGCTTCTCGGGGGCGGAGAACTCGGCCGGCGGGGGCGGGCCAGGGGTAGGGGCGGGAGGTGACTTCAAGGGCCCCGCGCCATTGGCCGCAGGGCCCGGAGGCAGGAAGGGGCCAGCGAGCGCGGCCCCACCCCGCGGCCGGAGGAGCCTATCGCCGGGGGCGCAGAGCGCGGATAAATGTAGCGCCGCGGCGCGGGCGGCCAGCTCTCCGAGGGGCCGGAGCGCAGCGCAGCCATGCAGTACCCGCACCCCGGGCCCGCTGCGGCGCCGCTGTACGCGCCCACGCCGCTGCTGCAGCCCGCGCACCCAACGCCCTTCTACATCGAGGACATCCTGGGCCGCGGGCCCGCCGCACCCACGCCCACCCCCACGCTGCCGTCTCCCAACTCCTCCTTCACTAGCCTCGTGTCCTCCTACCGGACCCCCGTGTACGAGCCCACGCCGATCCACCCCGCCTTCTCGCACCACTCGGCTGCCGCGCTGGCCGCCGCCTACGGCCCCGGTGGCTTCGGAGGCCCTCTGTACCCTTTCCCGCGGACAGTGAACGACTACACGCACGCCTTGCTCCGCCACGACCCCTTGGGTAAGGGGGCCGGGTCACTGTGGGGCCAAGCCGGGGCGACAGCGAGGAAGGCGCCACCCGGCAGGTGGCAGCGCCCGGGAGGCGGCGGGGGCGGAGGGGTGAGGCAATAGAAAGTTGTGGCAAAAGCTATTGAAAAGCGGCTCTCGGGCGCGCGCGGGCCCCGGGGGCGCGCAGCCGGCGCTGACCGCACTGTGACTCAGATTGGTTTTCCTGCACCTTGCGAGGCGTCGGGGCGCGCGGACCAGGGAGAGACCTCCGACGCCGCCGCTGGGGCTGGTGGCGGAGGGCAGCCCCAGCCACGCGTGTCGCCCGGGGTGAGGGCCCCGTAGCGAGAGGGACGGGGAAGAGGGTGTCGCGGCGCCCCCCGCCGGCCCCGGCCCGGGCCCCAGCCGGGGTGGTTAGGGGCTGGATTTGGTTCAAGAAGCTCGGGCAGTGAAAGAGCCTGACCCTTTCCGTTCATACAGGAAATCTTGAGTTCTCGATAGGAGTAAATCTGGTTTCAGAAGCTGTTAAGTGTTTTCCTGGCTGCATGAAGCAGACCCTTCCCCCGGAGTAGTGCACGCTGCTGATTATTTTATCGACATCCTCAATACAGACAAATTCAGGAAACACTCGACTTCTGATAGCCGGGATCCGTTTTTCTGATATTGTTCATTTCCTCTGTGTGGGATGTGACTTTATGGCAGCTAAAATAACCAGTTGCTTCCTTTTTTTTTTTTTTTTTGAGGCTGTTTTGCACCAGTCTGAAGCCTGACGCAAGCAAAATCTCGAGAGAGAGAAACACACACACACACACACAAATGCCAGTTTTCAAAGTGTTTAGGCGCAGGCCTGCAGACGCACCGACGGACGGACGGACGGACTGACCGTCCCTTTTTGGAGAAGGAAGATTTAGACCCCGGGCGCCAGTTTGGAAGAGTAGTACCGACATACCGGACACATAGGATTTTCGGGGCTTGTCCCTTTAGTGTGCGACCTAAGAAATAACTCACCACTAGTTGGGTTCCTGGTGGCCCTTTGACGCCTTTGGGGTCAGAAGCCCTTAGGTTAGATAAGGAAATGGGCAGCTTCGCCCGGGTCCCCAGAGCTTTAAGTCAACTGTCTTATTGGCAGCTTCAGTAGAGACCGTGGAAACAATTAACATGTTAATTATTTTACATTAATTAATTATGGCTCAGCCTCTGGCTCAGTCCTCCTCCCTCCCTTGGGATACGCGTGTTACGTTTTGTTTTTGGAAGGCTTATCCTTGCATTTTAAAATTCCAGCCTCCCGGGGCTGGTGCCACGGTCCCGACGTGGCCCTATTCCCCGGTGGGGCCAGATCGGGGACTGGATGGGGACCCTCAGCTGTGTTGGGGCGGACGTTTTTTGCCGAGCGCGCCCTGGCTTTCCTTGGGTTACTGCTGGGACCGCACAGGAGGAAGCACAGCGCTTTTTGAGATCGACCAACAGGAAACACATTGACGGAAATGTTGCCATAGCCCACGGGGTGGCTTTAACCGGCCGCCCCTGCGGGCCCGGTGTGAAATCAGAGGAGGCCGCGGCGTCCCGGGGCCGGGATTGGAAGCGCCACGCGGGGCGAACGCGGGCGCCAGCCCCAGCCCTCAGTGCAGTGAGGCCGTGGGTAGTGTGACAGCCCCGCTCCCCAAAACGCACGCTGGAAAGGGTGGCTCGCCACGTTGTTCATCAATTCGAGGGCAACTGGTGATCCGGGTCATGGTGTTTTAAGCCCCGCCTGCAGTGGGCATTCTTTTGAGGATTTGTACCTAGCTGTAGGTGTGATGGTTGGGTGTCCGTGGCAGAGTGTACCGGGTGCTTCGTGCATATGCATCTCAACTCTGTGATTTTTGTGTGTGTGTTTTGTGTGTGTGTGTGTGTATTGGTAAGAACGCGTTGAGCCCATGTGCCAGCCCCATTGTTGTCACCCCCCAGGCTAGGCAGGTCTGGGGGATGCCTAGGCTGCTCCAGGGCCATTGCTAACGACTGGCTGTTCTTGCCAGCAGGCAAACCCCTGCTCTGGAGCCCCTTCCTGCAGCGGCCTCTGCATAAAAGGAAAGGAGGCCAGGTGAGGTTCTCCAACGACCAGACCATCGAGCTGGAGAAGAAGTTCGAGACCCAGAAATACCTCTCCCCGCCTGAGCGGAAGCGTCTGGCCAAGATGTTGCAGCTCAGCGAGAGACAAGTAAGCTATCCCCGGCCGCCTCCCAGGGCTGGCTTCTGCCGCAGGGGTCCCCAGGCCCAAGAGAAATGGGAAGCCACCGTGAGCACTGGCACGTTCCAAAGCTGCCCAACCCCTGGAGGGCTGGTCTGTCCGCAGTCCCAATCTGCCTCTCTCCTCCTTCCCAGAACCCTCGGGATTTGGGGCTCTTCGAAAATATTCTTTCTTTCCTTGTAGGTGAAAACCTGGTTTCAGAATCGGAGGGCTAAATGGAGAAGACTAAAACAGGTATTGACATGGTTCTGTTGCTATGGAAATAAATATTTGTATCATGTTATCTCAATGCAAGGCCTGTTATGAGTTGTATGCAAAAGTCATTTGAGAGACTATTTAACCTCTTCACCTTGATTAAAAAGGCAAATAGTCCTGCTGAAATTCAGGATGAGTTGCTCAGGTGGCAATAATGCTAAAAGCACCTAATGCAGTTCCTATATCAATTATGCTTGGGTTTTCACACACTAGCTAGTAAAACTCCTGGCTAATTGTTTTATAAACCCCATATGTTGTTTATCTAATTAACGCAGGAAAGATAAAGTAATTGTCAGTAAATGACTTAAGCAGTTATCTTTGGGAGAAAATTGTTTCTTTTATTTACACAGCCACAATAAAACCAGGCAGAACTCAAGGGTAAATATAAAGACACAAACACCTTTAAGTCCTGTTTGCACTGTTTTTTAGAAGAATTAAATATCAAAGCGTTTAAAAATTATTTTCCATCTAATGCCAGCTCTTAAAGTGAATATTAAAACATTGAAGACGATATCCAAGCCCGTTTGAAAAGTAGCTTAAACTTCCTGACAGTCTGTCTTCCAATGACCTTGTTATGCAATAAAAAGTGATAAACAGTAAAGGCTAATTCAGTTTTTAAAGAAGCTCTATTGACTTAAAGCGAAAGATTTGTTTTTGCGGTCCTAATCTGGAGTTTCCACAGCCACCTGAGAAATGCTGAATTGTTCTTTTGCCAATGTATATATGAACTTTTCATAACAAATACAATATTTTGAAACAGTAATCCCAGTAAGGAAATTTAATGTGGATTTTTAAATTTACTGATCATTACTTTTTCATTAAAAACAAGATGATATCCCAAAGAATATTTTGAAGCATACAATTCCTGGAATTTAATTAACCTAACATGATTTTAAATATTCACAGATTTCCTCAGTCTCTGACTTTGTACATCTATTTGTACATAGTTTGCAAACCTGGTGAATATGTTAGTTTCCTTTCTTTTTTTTTAAGAACTTAGCAGTATATCATAAATATTTCTATGTAATGTTTATATCCATTTTAGAGACAGAATTAAAAATCCACTGATTTATTTAGTTCTTGTTCAAAGGTTTGACTCTAGTTTACCAGTGACTTTTAAAAATAGTGGTTTCTATGTAATACTGGAATTTTTTTCAGAAATTTGCCCTAGATTTTAAGCAAATCATATCCTCCCTTCTCAGTTCTGCAATTTTTATTTGCTATGATTTTGTAGCTTGCTATGTATTTATGTATGTAGATGTTCATTAATTTACTGCAGAAAATGAATGAAAAGGGTTCAATCTAATATTTTTGAAACTTTCTTCTTAAGTCACCATTTAATTTTTTTTTTTGTTATTTTGGTGCTGTGGATGAATCGAGGGCCTGTGTATAACATTAACATTCTTAAAAAAATGTTTAGAAGACCCTGTTAATTAAAAAGGTTTAAACAAAGGATGAAGATAGTGTGCATTTGAGATGACCTGAGGTTTGTTTTTTCCCCTACACTTTTAAGAATCTTGAGACCATGGGTCTGGACTGGTGGTAAGTGATCAATTGCTATAATACATTTACACTTATAATCACAACTGGTTCTTATGTGGCAAGAGTATAATCTTTCTCTGATGTGACATAACTTTTTGCTTCTTTCAAACGGAGAATCGCAAGTGTGTATTTTTTGAATAAAAAGATTATAGCTGAAAACACTTCATAAACTAAAAACTAAAATGATAGTGGCAGGAGGAAAAGACATTTTAGTTTAGAACTGTTACTTCTCCCTATTTTCTGATCCTAGCAATCTCTATTTTCATTTCCTTCATTCAGGAGAACCCTCAAAGCAGCAATAAAAAGGATGAACTGGAAAATTTGGACAATCCCTGTGACCAGGGGCAAGACTTGCCCAGTGAACAGAATCAAGGTGCTTCCCTGGATAGTTCTCAGTGCTCACCATCCCCGGCCTCCCAGGAAGACCTTGACTCAGAGATTTCAGAGGATTCTGACCAGGAAGTGGACATTGAGGGTGATAAAGGCTATTTTAATGCTGGATGATGATCACTGGTGTGTTCAGAAAACTGGACATGGGAATAACATTTTGCCACAGAAGAACTGGAAAACTATGTGAAAAACGGAAATCAACTTTCTCATGTTCTAGAAACTCAAACTATTTTGGTGCACTGGCTAATTAACGAACCTTAATTTTGATTTAACAAATGGTGTATATAATGTTTGTGGGTTATTTTGATAAAGTGACTAAATTCACCCCCATTTTTTAGAAAAGTAAATTGTTTTTTATTTATAAAAGAAGTAATTTTGAACTTGTTAAAAATTTAAGTTATAACTTTAAAGGTTTTAAAGTCATTTTTGAATTAGTTTTTTTATAATTTGTCTTTACATTCTACATAATGGAAAACCAAAAGAGCACCCCAAATCCAGAGGTGCACTTTGGAAAAGGGACCTGTATTTCAGATGGCATTGGAATACTTTAAAAGGAGCATTTTTTACTTATATAGGCTTTTCTTACATTGCTGCCTTAAACCCCAAACCATTTCGGAATTCTTTTTGTGAGAAAGAGAGCTGATAAGATCCTTAAATGCTTGTTTTGCACTGTCACTTAGTACCTTTTTGACCAAGTCGTTAAGAGGGACAGGACAGTACAGTCCTGCAGGCATAGAAACTGACTGTGACTAAAATCATTCAAGATAAAGTCTAGGTAGGTTGTAGATAGTGTAGTGTGTAGTGTGTTTTATATCAGTGTCTATAACGTGTATATAGAATTGTTCACTGTAAAAAAAAGGCCAATTTTTTTTTTTTTTAATGAATGGCTGTCTATAAAATAAATCCGTCCGGGGAACGACTGACCTCGTGGGACATCTCATTCTTTGGTTAAAAAACTTACACACACCTTTCCAACTTGCCCCTGGGGTGCGGCGCTGGGGCAATCTGGGGCGCTCAGCTGGCCGGGGGCCGGCCGGAGAGGGCCGCTGAAACGTGAGCTTGGGCCTTTCTTGGGGTGCTTTCTGGGGAGCTGGGTGTGCTGCGCGTCTGCCCCGGGCCCCTCTCCGGGCAGGTTGCGCCCAGGGCGCAGGCGGTGGCAAGACCCCGGCCGTGCCGCAAGCCCCATCGATTCGCGCGACTGCCGGGCTGGCCCCGGCTGTCCTTGACCGAGTGAGTCAACACTGCGTCATCCCCGGCCGAGGCTCAGGAGCCGGCTCTGCGGCGGGGCCCGCCCGAGGGGTAATCGGGGGACGGGGAGCGCTAAGGCGGCGGGTCTCACCTGCCCGCTGCGGAATCCCCCCCCCCACCCGCGGGGCTGGTTGAAGGTCATTGTCGGCCCCTCCCTTGAGCTCGGATTTGGCAGGTCAAGGTGGGAACCGTAATTTGCATTTCTCCAAGTACTCAGGTGATGCCAGAACTGCTGGAAAGAGAACCACGGTGCTCCAAGGGTGGAAGACGCAGGTGGGACGCCTCACCTGCTTCCCTCGGGGAACTCCTACCACCGTTGAGTTAGGGATGGGGGCTGGGAGAGGAAAAAAGAAAACAGAGGTACCAGGGTGGTGGGAGTGAGACCTGAGGCTGAGTAGAGGAGGGTGCAGAGTCCAGGAGGGGTCATTGTTGTATGGAAAGTCCTGAGGTGGAGGCGGCGGGCTGAGGTTTCTGATATCCCGGTATTGCTTGTCTGCATCCTGCTACCTGCCTAGCAGAGCCATCAGGTCCCTGCTATTCCAGGAATAGGTGAGGGGGAGGCCTCCAGGGAGTCCTCTAGCCCTCGAGTGGGTGAGGGCCTTTGGCAAAAATGATCCTATCCCTAGCCTGGCTGAGGAGGGCTGTGGCTCCCCACACATGGGCACACAGGTGGAGACAGTAAAAAAAGTCATTGGTCTTAGGTAGCTATCATATCCTGCCTCCTTAGGTTCCAAGAAGGCCACAGAATTGCAGGTGAATTAGGTTTCTGAGAAAAGACTGAGTACTTGATCCTTAAGCAGAGATGTGTGCAGAGGAGTGGAAATTTGAAGACATGTGTTGGAGTTTTAGTTCTTGGCCTCAGTTCTCTTACGTATAGAACAAAGATGGTGTGATTGTTGCACATGACCCCTTGCAAGCCCCCAGTTCTCAACTCAGTCCATGCTCGTTTCCCCCCACTCCTCAATGCTGGAGCCCAAGTAGCCATCCAGTGGGAGAGTTTTCCTTCCCATCGCTGCAAGCTCCAGACCCTGCCTAACAGGTTACATCAAGGTTTCAAAGGTCATGATCAGTCTCATCTGAAAATGGACTGTCTATCTGAGTCCTGGGGAATGGGAGGCCTGTGGACCTAATACTGAATTAAAGTAATCCTGAAATCTGTGTGTGTTTCACTTCTAGAGATAACCTCTGGTTAATGTTTATTCTCGGGAGTAACTGTATCATGACTATTAAGCTGAGAAATACCCAGCTTATGTATTGATTGGCACTAGAACACGTGGGGGTGCAGTCTTGTTTTGAAGTAGACAATTCCCTGAAACCAGGCTGATTTCTGACTTAAAGCTGCCTTACTTCCGTTCAGGTTGCTTGTGTTCTGGCCCAAACGCGTCCTTAAGAGCCCAGGGCATGTTAACTGGAGGAGGTAAGTAGTTTCAGGCCACAGGTTGGCGTTAAGGTTTGTAAAGTGCCCCATTCCAGGCTGCCAATGAATATTTACAAGTTCTTCCTACAATCCAGGCATTTTTTTTTCATTTGTTTATCTTTTGGCTATTTCATGTTGAAGCAGCATGTATGACCTTTACAGCACAACTCCTGTCTTGTTTTTAACTCTTTTTATCAGGAGATTCAACTTGAAAACTGTTATCATTTAGCAGAAAGACAAACAGAAAAGCACATTTTTGTAAGCAAAACGTTAATGATTGGAAGAATTGCCCTAATTTCACCATGACAGTGGTGATTAATCCCCTGGGTCGTGTACTTATACTTTAAGTTATTCAACTTGTTGCTCTTTGATTTTCAGAAACCTTTCTAACTTAATAGGATATTGATTTTGCCAGCTGATGTACTTTGACTCTTTAAACAACATCACTTTTAGGGATGACTAGCCTGTTGTGGACTATTTTATTTAGAGAACTGTTGCATAAGGTCTCTTTTTCTTACTTTTTATGGTTTTCTCAGGGTGAAAGCTGATAAGACATCTTGTGGGAAAAGAGGAAACCATCTCTGATAGTGAAAGTACCTATTCTCTTTCAACATTTCTGACAAGTTTTTTTGTTTGTGGTTTTACGACTGTGAATATTCCTCTAGTTACTGAGCGCATGGCAGGTATTCAAGAAAATGAATATTCGGACTTGGGGGGAAATGTACTTTGGTAGGGATAGAATGCACCAAAATTTCCATTCCAGTTATTTTGACTTGTGGAAGATGACATAAACACAAAAACTCGCCCTTTGATTTCTCTTTAAAATCTAATAACTATTCTGTAGATCTGTGATTGGAGGTGTTATTTATGTGACTACCCCATAACATGGGACAGACAACTAAACATCCCCCAGGATGCTTCTAAAAGGTTAGTTGCTTATCCTGTAGTCAAAATAATCACATATTGTCCAGACATTTACTTTTCATCCCACTGGGTTTTATGAAATCCCAGCTGGACTCTGTGATTAATTTTGCCCCTTGATGCATTTTTGGTATTGTTGTTAAATTCAAATGAGAAGCACTTTGCAGATTCCTCCCACCCACGAAAGTATCTGAGCTCCAAGTCTACAAAACAGCAGCTGCCCCTGCAGATGCTGCTGTAGGAAACTGTCCTTGGAATCATACCAGCATGGATGGAAGCAGGGAGGGCAGTAAGACGGAAGGAGTCCCCTGCACCTGTCTTACTGGTTGGGGAGTCTAAGGAAACACAAATTCTGGGCCTCTGTGCCTCCGTTCCTAAAGTGGTGAGCAGTGCACCTGAGAAGAGACATCACCCAGTGGGTGCCAACTGTTGGAAAAGCCAGAAAGCCCCAGTGAGTCTGTTCTTTTGAGACAGCTCTTTGATTCGCAGTGGCAGGCGGGGAAACCTCTTCTGAAGTCGGATGTACACAAATCTCTACAGACAATGGAGAGAGCTGTGGGAAGGAGACCTTGGAGCTGGCAAAGGCATTTCCTGTCTGCGGAGAATCTTGACTTTTGAAGCAAACGATCGCTTTCCTGTGAAGCTACTTTATAAAAAAGAAAAGAAAGTCATTGCCAATTCTGGGAGTTTTTTAAAAAATAGTCTTTACATTTATTCATATGTGTATACATTGTTTGGGCCACTTTTCTTCCCTCCTCTCTGCCCCCCTTCACTTCCAGGCAGAACCTGTTCCGCCCTCTTGTTCTCCAATTTTGTTGAAAAGAAAACACAAGAGACAATAAGAAAGGCATAGCATTTTTGCTAGTTTGAGATAAAGATAGCTATACAGAGAGATTCCTAGTGTTGCTTACATGCAGTTGTGTATTGCAACCCACATTGGTTCATCTCTACCAGACCTCTTCACTACTTCCTGGTCCCCTTCCCATAGTGGCCTCTGTGGGGCAGGTTTCTAGATGAAAGCCAATGGGGCTGCCTCCCACTTTAAACAGTTGGTTTAATGCGTATTTTCTAAGCGCTCATTAGAAACCTTTTTAATTCGAAAGGAGAGTTTGGTGTTACTGAAAAATTACATTTTTTGAAGACATCTCAGATGAACAAGTACAGGAAAGAGTTAACAGTAAAGGTTCCCTCTCCATACTCATAAACACTGCAGGAAGAGAGGCCTACTTTGTCTCAAACTTGTTTATATTTTTCTTTATAGTTTAATTATGCCCTTCCAGCCTTTCTCTCCTCTCCACTAGTCTTTCTTCTTTTTGTTCTTTCCTTTCCTCCTTTTGCCCTCTCGTCTCAGAATTCTTCATCCTCGTTCAGTTTATTTCTCCATTAATAATAGAAAATAATTAATCTCAATTCTTTAAATGTCAGCTTTCAGCTGAGATGACAATCTTGTTTGAAGGAGGTGTGACTGGAATTCTAATACACTAAGGCTCTTTAGCATTTGTGGGAACTAAGATAAGCAATATAAAGACATTACTAGAAGAGTAATGACACCAAGTTATCTTTAAGGTCCCTGCAGTAGGTGTTATTGGGTATAACCCATAGACTAGGTGGTCTTTTTTTGTTTGTTTTTTTCATTGTTATATATCTCCAGTCTGACACATAATAGGCACTAAGTAATTATTAAATGAATGAATGACTATATATTAGGTACTTTCTTTGTATTAAAAGTTATGTAAGTTCCTTACATGCTTTATGTCATTTAATCCTCACAACAACCCTAGAGGTACATACTGTTATCCACTCCATTTTCTAGATAAGGAAACCGTCAAAGAGAAATTAAGCCAAAGACGTCAATTACTGAACTAGTCAATACTGTTATGGGAACATATTCATTTGATCTGTCACATCTTTGAAAAGGTATAAAGTCAGATCTTATTCTAACTATAAGAAGATTGTGGAGGTTTTTTGTTCATCTTGTTCAGTATTTTGCCTTAAATCTAGCATTAAATCTGGAAGGGATTACAATACAACGTGAGGGGTTGGAAATTCTTGTGCGTGTAGCAGATTATTCTGCCATGCTGGGATGCTACTTCCTGCTCCTTTTCTGGGGAAATAAGTGTTATAAAATACTTTGTATCTTTCAAAACATTTAAATATGTCTACCTGTGGTCTGTGTTGTTTGATATTCCCATGACATGAACTGTTTCATATCATATTTCTTTTCTCTGACCCACTGGTGACTGTATCACAGAGGACTCTGAACATACAGCCGTGCAGTGGCTCACAATGGTGTCGCCAGCCTCTAGCATCATGTTTGG